CCCTAACTCCTCCTCTCCTGCAATGCCCATAAAGGCGTATCGCGCGCGCTCCAACGCGATTGCCCCCTCCCCCCTCCCTCTCATCTGCTCTTCCCCGCTATCGATACCACATCATCGGGTGATTTATCTCCGCGAGTCACGGCCAACCCGACCCCCGGCCAGACCGGAGACTCTTCTTGCAGGAGAGTGTTTTCATAGGAATCGCGCACTCCCGGCCGCGAGGAGCCACGTCGTCGACCCCCCCTGCCGACCGTCCGCAGGGAGAAACACAACCAACTGCTGCTGCTGGCTGGTCGACCCTCCCTCCTCCTGCCCCGGTGTGGCCGACACCGCGACCGACCCGACTTTGCTGCCTGACGATCCCGACCGTATTTACTGCCATTTTAAGGACTTCCGCCCGGCTCCAGGGCGGTTCCAGAGCGGAGTCCAGGGGGCGTGCGCAATTAACAAATGACCGTGGCCGGGAGGGATCGTTATTTATGGGATAAGAAAAGGCAGCCCATTACACGGATGAGGAGGTACTATTCCCGTGCGAACGCGCTGCGCCGCCGCCTGCCTGCATCGCGTCGCATCACCGCAGGGGAGGCGGGACGGGGCACACCGGGTAGGTAGGTAGGTATAGCATTTCACTCCGAGAATCCTCTTCTCATTGGAATAACTCGAGGCTTTTAATGTGCCCTCACGGGCCTACCATATCCCCCCGCCCTTTCTCTCAATCCAGTGCCCAACCGCAGTTGCATTGTCTCAGTGTACCGGGAGTATAAAGGCTAATACTCTCCAGTGTTGCGGGTTTGCATACCCAAGGGGCTAGAAACCCCAGAATCCAATACTACAACAGCGCCTTACGGGCAGATCGGGTAGGCAAACCCGCATCACTGTGGTGTATTGCCTTTCCAGGCAGTACTTGTGCTGGAGTGTCCGCTGCAGTTGGGCCAAGACCTCGGCCAAGACTCGGAGAGGCAGTGCGCGTGGCCCGTACTGACGCCGGACTTGGCCAGCCTGCTGAGAGAGGCGATTTGCTGCGGGGCGCGGGGCCCCAGGGAGAAGTAGGGGAGGGGGGGCAGGCAATTTATTTGGATTGTTGAGGCGTAAGGTGGAAGAGAAGGGGAGGAGGGGAGGAGGAGGCTGAGGGGAGCGAAGGAAGGTAGTGCCCAGCCAGAGTCTAGAGCAGGCACACCGGCCCTGACGGGACGGCTAGCTAGATACATGGCAGAGACTATTTTTCAGCCCGCGTCTCTGTGGATCCGTTTCGGATGGATAGCGCTGGGCGGCGCGGGCAGGGCACGCGGTCGTATCATCAGCATCAGCCAAAGAAGGCCGCAGCGTCATTTGCGGGCAGAAACAAAACAAAACTGACCACGCGACGCGCCTCGGGGAGGAGGGCAGAGCGCGGTCGTGGGAAAAGAGAAGGGATTAAACCTGCACCGAAAAAAGAGGAGCAGCTCCGGAGCAGGCGATAAAGCATGGGCTCTATGGCAGGATCCAAGGAAGGTGTGAGAGACCTTTCGCCGGCACGACCGACCACCGGATACCGCCGTTTTGCTGCCCTTTCTTTGCTAACCGGGCGCCATATAGTCGCTCCCGGTAGCGGTGTGTGTAGGTGCAAAGGCGTGCGGGTAAGCGCACAAGCGCACACTGTCTTTGGCAAAGAAAGGAAAACAGTTAGAGCGCTGCTGAAGGCTCGCCAAGAAGTCACACATGCCGAAGGGGCGGGGCGGCGCGGCGGGCGCAGGGGGGCGTTGACCCGCTATCCACCAGCAGCACGGCGACGAACGTCAGCCTCGCGACGACACGGCGAGGAGCACACGGGGAGCCGAGGGAAGGACACGCCACCTCACCAATTTCCCCCAAAATGGCGCTAGTTTTTGTGTGTATGTGTGTGTGTGTAGGTGTGTGTGTGTGTGTGTGTGTGTGTTATTTACCGTCATGCTCGCCATGGCGTGTCAGCAGGCGCCCCCGCTGCCGCAACGCGCGCCGCTGCCGAATCTGCTCCTGCCATGGGTAACGACCTCAGCGGAAGTGGACGAGAGCAGCAGCGCGGTGTGCGTGGCGAGGCGAGGCGTGACACTGTACCACCGGCGTCGCGCCATGGGCCCGCGAAGGGACCCAGCCTTCTTGTTCTCCACCACGAGGTACCTACTTTTGTCCTCCTGGGCCTTTATAGACAGTCCCCAAGACTGTCTCTACCGGAAGGAAGCAGACCCCCCCCCCCCCCCCCACATAGCTCTTCCCCTTTTTGACATCATCCCGTATCATTACCGTACTTCTGCTTAAGCTGTGTCCAGATTTGAAGGTACAGTCGTCGCAGCATTACTTCCGTCTTCGGGTTCGGAGTTCGGCCGTTCCCCCTCCACAGCCGAAAACGTTCCGATTGGCTCAGGAAGCTATTCGGCTGTCACGTGACCTAAAAACCCGAAGACAGAAGTAAAGCTGCGCCGACTGTACGACAGCTCTGGTGTCTGTCCGTCTGTGTCCACCCCCTCCCCCCTCCCTGCCTTGCGCTACCTGCCTACCTGCCTCAACGCGCGTGGCTCAACCTGGTGGACGCCGGGCGAAAACCTAACAACAGCGATCGGCCACTCAGCCGCGGCGAGCGTCGAGCGAGCAGTTGCCAGTTGTAACTTGTTTCCCGAGAGCCCCGACTTCCAAGTGAACCAAGAATACTAGTTTGTGTGCCCAAAACGCCAAAATGTTTGACGTTTTTAAACCCGCGAAGGAACTGATCAAAATCAAGCCCGATTCGGTGCGCATAGACAACTATGTATTCAAGCTCCACTATCAAGCCACCTTTATCATTTTGTTGGCGTTCTCACTGCTAGTGACCGCAAAACAATTCGTCGGAGACCCCATCGCCTGTATCGTCGAAGAAAAAGGAGCAGTCCCCCAAGTAGTCATGGATACTTTCTGCTGGATCTCCTCCACATTCACCATCCCCAACCTGAACAATGGCCGCGTCGGCACGGATGTGATCCAGCCCGGCGTCGCGTCACACACGGACCAAGATGAAGTCAAGTTTCACAAATACTATCAATGGGTGTGCATCGCCCTGTTCTTCCAGTCCATCCTCTTTTACGTGCCTCGCTACATCTGGAAGATCTGCGAGGGCGGTCGCATGAAGACGTTGGCCCTGAACCTCAACAGCCCTATTGTGACCGAGGAAGTCAAGAGGGACCGGAAAAAGCTCCTGGTGGATTATTTCGTCAGCCACTTTCACCAGCAAAACTCTTATGCATTCCGTTTCTTTATCTGTGAAGCCCTCAACCTCGTCAATGTTGTTGGGCAGATGCACTTTATGGACCTGTTTCTCGATGGAGAGTTCAGCACATACGGGTCTGATGTTGTCAAGTTCACAGAGATGGACTTTGAAGAGCGTAGTGATCCCATGTCCCGAGTGTTCCCTAAAGTAACCAAATGCACCTTCCATAAATTTGGTCCAAGTGGTTCACTGCAGACCATTGACAGTCTCTGTGTGCTTCCTCTTAATGTGGTGAATGAGAAGATCTATGTGTTTCTGTGGTTTTGGTTTGTGCTTCTTTCCATTGTCACTAGCCTTATGATAGTGTACCGTATGTGTGTCATCTGCTTCATGAAGATGAGGACGTACCTGCTGTACTCCCGATATTGTCTTGGTTCATTTGAAGAAATTGAGATCATCACAAAGAAGTGCCAGATTGGTGACTGGTTCATTCTGTATCAGCTGTCGAGGAACATTGATCCTCTAATATTCAAGGAGTTGATATCTGAGCTTTCTGAAAAATTGAAAGATAAACAACGAAGGGATGCTTATTTAAAAAACGCTGAAAAATTGGAAGATAAACAACACGAGGATTGTTTTATAAAAAACAAACACATTATTTTCGTGTGAGAATAAAACAAATTTTGAAAGCTCAATCTCTTTAAGTGAATTCCGTAAAAACAAATACATTGTTTGTTAACGTGTGAGAATAAAACTAATTTTGATAGCTCAATCTCTGTAAGTGAATTCCGTAAAAACAAATACATTGTTTGTTAACATGTGAGAATAAAACTAATTTTGAAAGCTCAATCTCTGTAAGTGGATTCTGTAAAAACAAATACATTGTTTGTTAACATGTGAGAATAAAACTAATTTT